CTTCAAGAGAAAACAACGCTTGGAGTAAGGAAACAGATTACAAAGTATCTAGCATTTTACTTATTTGGAAATCCATCTAGCTGACATGCCAAATGAAATATGAGACATTCTTAGCCTTGGAAAACTTTCTCCTAAACTTAAAAATAGCTCATATTCTCTGTGTTATTAAGCACATAAGACATCTAACTTCACCCTGAACTGTCTTTTACCTTATAGTTTTGGGCTTCTAAATCTTGCAAAAACCTCTGTAACATCACTTAGATCAGATATTTTCTTCATGTACTATGCTTTATCATGCCATTCAATTATGGAGACTAAAATGAGCAGCCAGAGTTCTTTTTCAAAGCATCACTTTCTCTCAGCCATGCTATGGTAAATCACTCTTTTTTTTTCTTTTATCTTTTTAATTCACTTTCCAAAGTTTAAATCAGAAATAGGAGATTTTTGTCCTATACTTAGCAATCTTTCATGGCTTCCCACTTATCTCAATTCTCAAAGTAGGAGTGTTGACCTGTAATTGTCATTATTATTACCATTATTAATCTTTCATAAGTACAACTTATATTCTGCTGATTCCTTTCCCCTCTTGTTAGTTGGATAGATGTGATCTTTTGCAAGTAGACTTTTATTATAGTCTTCACGGTTCTTATTTTCCATGTTTACGTTTCCCAATTATTTGAATAACACTTCTTGTGTACCATGATTTAATAATTGCTGTTAAACTGTTATTATTGTGACTTTCTACAGTGAAGATATTTTTAAGAAACATGTTAAAAACGTAAAGTATGTGAGCTGAAGGAAGAATGCTATACCCATAAATATTTATACCTACTATATACCCACAAAAATTAAAATTTAAAAAATTAAATACTATAAAAACAAGAAAAATATATGAAAAGAAATAAGCAAAGTTTAGTTAGCTGAACTGTGTTCCCTTCTTTAGGACGTTCCATACCTTTCTTATAAGGCCTGCCATGAGTAAGAGGCTGACCTAAATTCTTCTTGGTCTTTGTTCATCTGAGATGGAGAGGAGAAAATGTTACCTATTTCATTACCTGCTCACCATGAATCTGGGCACTAGTTTTCATTCTACATTTTGACTACTATCCTCAGAGAATTTCTCTGTTTCCTGTGATAACAATGATTGCTCTCTTTTGAGAGTTGTGATCCAAGGTTAAAGCTGATTATTTCCCCAACCTTCTTCAATGGTTTTTGTTAAATGGCACCTGTCTGTGCTTAAATATTAGGTAGGAGAGCTATTAGGAAGGAAAGCCGGAAGGATGGCAGACATAAATATCTTTTTCTGTGTTCCTGGGACAAGGTGACCTGGAAGACAGTCACTGTATTAATGTTAATGAGTATAAACAAGCCCTGCAGCAAGACACATATAGTAGAGCCCAAATCATAATGTTTAGTTCGAAGCATGCCAGGCTCTGTGATTGGAATACAGAGATGAATGAGATACTCTCTCCACAAGAAGCTCACTGTCTAGCTTCTTTTTCCCTATGAGGATAAGAAACTCCTGTAAAACTGGGGCATCGCTATTAGAACAATGTAGAATACTCCTCAGGGAGGGTCAGTAAGCATTTACCAGGGTGAGAAAAGTTAGACTTTGTGTGGCATAGAATTTGTGGAAAAAATGAGATGAATAGCAAATCATGCTATTTAGCCCCAACCTTTTATTATTAGATTTATCAAATAACTGGTATGCCACTACCGTCTTTACTTCCGTGCCACGTCATTATTTAATCTCTTAGGATCATCCAGCCAGATCACTCTGAAATTACATCCTGATCACTTAACTGAAACATCCTAAAAGAACATAATTCTTTGAGTATTAATTTAATGGTATAATGTATGCAGAACAGCAAGAAAATTAATAGAATGGATTTGGAATTAGGCAGACCTAAGTTAAACTCCTGCTTCTATTATTTACTAATTAGCTTTGGTGACCTTGAGAAATCATTTTTAAAACCTCACTTGTGAAAAGGGACAATAAAACCTACCTAATAAGATTATCATAAAGGTCGACTGAGATAAAATATGTAAAGCACCTAGCACAAAACAAGGCACATAGTTCGTGCTCAGTGATTATTCTTATTATTTTAAAAGGCTTTTCACATGTGTTTATTTCTCCTACATTTCTATATCATGTGAAATATGTCATCATCTCATACATAAGAAAAAAATTTTTTTTTATTCTTCTGGGACAAAACCTTAAATAACCCTTAATGTCCAATCCTTGGACTTCTATTCTTTATCCTATAAGAAGCTGCTATCACTCTGCCCATAGGGATGAAGAGAAGAACCCAGCAAAAAAGAGAGTTATACTGCTTTCAGAGGAGAAGTAACCCTCAGTGTAGGGCCATAGCCAACCCAAGGTAAACTTGTGAGAAAGGCAGTAACCAGTGATAGGCCGACCTCGCTCTCCTCCTATTCATTCTCTGATTTACTGCTGAAGCTCTGTTTTGGATGAATACAATCACAGCCAGAGAGGAGAGGAGCCCATGGATATAGTCCTTACAAGTCAGCCTCCTCCCAGAATAAAGAAAAAAGCAGAGATGAGAAAGCAGAGAAGAGTGGCGAGTAGACATGGAGAGGCAAATAGAAGGTGTCTGACATGGGCATATAGAAATGAATCTACAGAACATGTGTGTCTTCATCCACTAGGACTGTTCTAACAAGATACTCTGGACTGTGTGGCTTCAACAACAGATACTTCTTTCTCACCGTTTGAAGGGCTGGAAAGTCTAAGATCAGGGTGCTGATAGATTTGCTATTTGGGGAGGGGCCTCTTTCTGGTTTGTAGACAGCTGTCTCCTTTTATCCTCACATGGCCAAGAGACAGCATGTCTCTCCTTATAAGGGCCCTAATCCCAGTCATGAAGGTTCCACCCCTATAACCTAATCACCTCCCCAAGGCCCCACTTCCAAATACCATCACATTGGAAGTTAGGTTTTGATATATGAATTTGGAGGGTTAGGGGATGCAATGTTCATTTATAACAATGTGTAAGATCTTTATGAAAAAATATAAAATTTTCTAAACAGAGAGCAATACCATGTTTATGGGTAAGTAGTTTCAATATTCTTATAATGTCAATTTCCCACAAATTCATCTATAAATTCAATGCAGTTTTTTTAAATACCAAGAGTATTTCAGAGGACTTTATAAGCTGATTCTAAATTATATAATGAAAAACCAAACAAAACAAATGAACAATGCCAAGACAATTTTGAAGAACAAAGTACAAGATCCTTAGCCTAGAATTATCAAGTCTTATTATAAATCTATGATAATTAAGACATTACTAAAGAATCAGAACAAAAAGCCCCTGTAAATTCACATGTATATGGAAACCTAATATATAATAGAGGTCACATCATAGATCAATGGGTAGAAGATGGAATTTAATAAATGATGCAAAAAAAATAGATTATCCACGTGGGGGAAAGTTTTTTGACTCCCTACCTCACAGTATAATTTAATTCACCTAAAATCAATTTTAGGTGAATTAAAATCAACTACCATATTGGTAGAAGTATTAATTGGTACAATTTCATTGGAAAAGAGGTTAGCAATATTTAGTAGAACTGAATACACTCATACTTTTACCCTCATTCATCCTCCCGGGTATGTGCTCTAGAAGGATTCTTGTGCATGTACACTAAGAATCATACATTGGAACATTCATGGCAACCTGGTTTGTCATATGGAAAAGCTGGAGATAACCGAGATATGCATTACAGTAGAAAGGGTAATGACATACTCATACATTGGGACCCCATACAGAAAGCAAAATGGACGTCTAGCCACATGTGTGAATCTCACAAAATATTGTGACAAAAGTTAATAAAAACAGAAGGTATACATTATGATTCCATTATACACAGTTCAAAAACAGATACAATTGGTCATTTAGGGATGCATACACAGGTTGAGTTAATATTAAAATGAAGCAAGAAAATGATTATCATTAAAGTAAGTGTAGCTGTTTCCTTCGGAGGTGGGGAATGGGAAGGAGCCCTGTTCAGGAAAAGGCACAAAAGGAGCTTCCAATTATTGGCAGTGTTTTACTTTGTACCAGAAACAGTAGACATTTAATGTTCACTTTGTTATTTCTATTATATAGTGTGTATACATTTCATACTTTCTTATGTGTATATATATATATATTTCACAATTTAAAAAAGAATGAAAACCATACATTCTCTCTTTATTAAAATAAGTTTACATGTGATATACCATCAACCCACTTAAATAAATACATTCAAACCCATTTCTTAAATTCAAAAACCATAGAGAAAAGGGAAACAGGAAAACAAATATATTTAATTTACACACACAAAAAAATGTGTATATTACTTAAAGGAGAATACTGATCAATTACATTAAAATTAAAATATACTATATCTCAAAATATATATAAACTTTTATCTGTGTATAAATATAGCTTTTATCTGTATTATATAGTACTTTTTTATACTTAGGAATACTATTTAAAATTAATCAGCATTTACTACACAACTCAGCTGTGATTAGTGTTTGGATTTACAATATACATTATTGATATATTATTTATAATTCTCCAACAACTGAAAGTCAGATGTCACTATCCTCATTTTTCAAATGTAAAAACTGAGAACCTATTAAGTTAACCAACTTGCCTCCAATAATCCAGCCATTTAGGGGTAGAGCCAGCTAATAGGTATAGAGCCATTTGAATTGCAATCCTTCTGCCTCCCAAATTGGCATGCTTTCTGCCATGTTACAAGACAGTCCTGTTCTCCACTCTTCTGTAGTGTTTGGGCACACTTCTTTCACGTGTTATCTGAGGAGGCTTTCTGACTCCCTATTAATATGTGGCACTGAAGCTATGGACACTGGAATAAGTCGCTTATTCCAGAACTCAGTTTCTTGTGTTTATAATGAAGGGTGTAACAATAGTTCCTTTAAGCGCTAAAAGTCTGTGTTATTTAACCATGAAAATATAAAACTGCCATTTACCTCTTAATTAGTGGTGTTCCTTTTCTGGATAATGGCAGGAAACTGGAAGTGAGGTTAAACTAGAAGAAAAGAAAATAATAAATACAAACAGACTCTCACAGCAGGAGGCCATTTTTTTCCTAACACCTGTTTGTTATGATAACTTCTCTCTAAATCAAGGTAATTGTGAGAAGTACAGAATAATTTATAAATAAATAAATTCTGAGTTATGTGATGTGTTTGACAAAATGTCTTATTTTCAAACCTAATTCAGAATCATTCAATCAAGCTACAAGTGAGTTGATTTTGTGGTCCAACTATAAATGAATGGTACAGAATGATTTCTGCTTAATATATCAGTTACTAAACTCTAAATGGTAATTCAAAAGTGCTTACAGATGTTGTAAACATTTATTTTGTTAAGAAATAAAAATAATCTTCCTGTCACTTGTTTAAACTCTTGCTGAAAAAGGAAAGGCTTACCAAGTAAGCATTATCACACTTCAACTTAGGGTTCCTCTGAATACCGACAAATTTTCAAATCAGTTTGAGGCAAATTAATTGTTCTGCTGATACTACCTTTAATACGCTCCTTAGGACTTTCAGCTTGAAACTTATGAATGCATTGTATACAGAACAGATGAAATTAGAAATGATTACAGCAATGTTGAATGGATGTTCCCATTATAAAATTTATTGTTTTAAAATATTTTAATCTCAGCTGGGCGTGGTGGCTCATGCCTGTAATCCCAGCACTTTGGGAGGCCGAGGCAGGCAGATCACGAGGTCAGGAATTCGAGACCAGCCTGGCCAGCATGGTGAAACCCCGTCTCTACTAAAAATACAAAAATTAGCCGGGTATGGTGGCACGAGCCAGTAGTCCCAGCTACTCGGGAGGCTGAGGCAGGAGAATCGCTTGAACCCGAAAGGAAGAGGTTGCAGTGAACTGAGATTGCGTCACTGCACTCCAGCCTGGGCAGAAGAGCGAAACTCCGTCTCAAAAAAAAAAAACAAATTAATTTCATATTTAGCACTGTTTAATGGCAATGTATAGTCCACTAATGGTTCTCAAGCTGGGTTGATGTTGCCCTCTACGGGACATTTGGCAATGTCTGGAGACATTTTAATTTGTCACACTAACTGGGCCAGGGAAGAGTTGGAGTAGAGGCACCAGCATTTAATGGGTAGAGAAGCCAGGGATGCCTCTAAACAGCCTACAGTACATTGAAAGAATGATATATTATTCACAGCACGTTAGAGAATGAAGTCAATACTAATACTATAGTCTTTTAAATAAAGTAAATAAGAAGATGAAAGATAAATTGATGTTCCTAGAGCAGCACAGCTTAATGAAGCATAATTTATCAACAGCTTTAATGGACTTACTAAAGGTTTTTGTCTTTAAAAGGTTAGGATTTAAAAAGATAAGACAAACAGCATGTACATACACACACGTATATCTATACATACATATTCATGCTAAATAAAAATGTATGAGATGTGCTTATAAAATAATGTGACTACTTTGTTAGCCTGTGAAATTAATTGCTAACATTTAGAAAATGTTCTACTGTTTATGGAGTACTTTCTGAATACCCTGGCAATATTATCTATACCTGTAGCCTCGACTTTCATCTCTATGATTGTGGTTTTCAAATGTTTACCTCTAGCCCAGATTTCAGCATTACCATACCCTGCTGATTTTCTGTCTTCGGTATTCCTCCATCACTCCCTCTGCATTATTTGGCCCTCATCCTCGTTTTCATGGATGATTGTGTGACCCCATTTTGCAAGATCACACTCTCCTGTGGTTATAAAATAAGGAAACACTTTTTCTTACTGCACAAAGTATAATGGCTTTAATTCTGACTAATTTCCGGAAATCAGCCCTCATCAGATGACTCACCAGCTGCTTCTGAGAACTCTCAGGATTCCACCATATGGTCTCTTTAGCAGGTCTCCAGGAGCCACGTGCCCTCCAAGGCTCTAAGGCTGCCATATCTTTCTGTAAGATCACAGTGATGGCTCAAGTGAGCGTGGCTTTCCAACACTCTGCTACCAACACCCTGGTCTCAAGGAGGAAGTTTACTGCTCTCTCCTTTGCATTTCTTTCCGAAGAATGGGATAGGCCCTTCCTGAATTCTCCACAGTATGAGTCCAGACTGTAACTTTTGACACAACTTCACTGCAGGTTTAGGAATAAAAGAAAGGAAGCAGAGTGAGGTAGTTACTTGCAACCTACACAGGCCCAGACCCAAGCAAATGTCCCAGAGATCTTATTCTTAGCCAATATCTACCTGTCCAGGGGTGGCTTCCCTTCTGGAAATGCCCCAGGACTCTCCATGCCTTTGACTTTATTCCAAACTGACTCTGGCACCAGAAACAGGAGGAAATTTTCCCCTTACCCAGTTGAAACCTGCCAGTTTTCATTTTCAGTGTGACTGACATTCCTTGTAGACAAAAACCTCAATCCCCCATTCCTCCCCTCACCCCCCATCCAAATAGGGATATGATGTGATGATAATCACATCAGAATACATTGGCCACTATCAGTTCATTTCCTAAAGTCTGGGTAATTTCATGTTAAATACCTTCTTTTATGGGACATCAGTAGCTCAGTGGAAGTTGGCCTGAACCAATCTCATTCTAGTCCATTTTCAGTCTCTCCTCATGAAGGGTTTAAAGTCTTGGTGTCAGTCTTACAAAGAATCACCTCGTTATGAGAGTGGTGACTTTCCAACTCATCTTCTTTCTCCAGTCTGGCTTCATTGAGTCCACACTTTTGCTGGGCCAATGTTCGTCAAAAATACAAATCCAGTCATTCACTTTTATACTTAAGACCCCACAGTGGTCCCATACAGCCTTCATGAATGCCCCCTTGCCTATTTCTTCAGTTCTCTCACTTCTCTTTTCCCCATTCACACCTTAGCTTAAGTCCAGACATTCAAGATTACTACAAATTTCCGAACATGATTCTCTCTCATGCCTCTGCCATTGCTGTTGTCTAGATCAAGAATTCCTTTCATCCCTTTATCAGTCCACCATATCTTATTCATGCTTCAAGACACAAATCAGTAGCACCTCCTCCAGGAATCTGATCATTGCCCCATCCCCAAATTTGAGTTAGGAACACCGTCTCTGGTCTGGAGCACATGGTACTTATCTCTATCACACCTCTTATCACACTGGACTGAAATTCTTTGTCACTTCCATGAGCATGGGAGCTCCCTAAAAGCAGAGACAATGTTGTTGCACTCTGTATTCCCAGATACCTGGCACAGGACCTGCAATACGCTAAATTCTCAGGAAAATTTAATGAATGCTGATTCTTTTTCATTTGATCCTCCTAACAACACTGGGACACTAATATTATTTCCAACAGTACCGGTGGAAAGCAGTGATTCCATTTAACCTAAAACTAAGAATAAAACAGCCAGGAGAGCTATAATAAATACAGAAATATATATAATTCACAAAAGAGGAGAGGAAAAAAGGGTGAAAAGGTGGGAGTGTATGTAACATGTTGATTTTCTCTATGTGATAGCTGAGGTTACAAAGTTAGGTTTTAAAGCTGACAGATCAAGTGATAAATATAGAACCACATTTCAAGATATAGAAGTAAACATTAGAAGAATATAAAAAATACAGTTTAATTAAACTCAGGTTTTAGAGGGCAGAGAGTAGAAATAAAAAGGACCTATTGCTCATAGTGGGGAAATACATATATATCTATTTATATGCATAGTATGCATATTTAAAAGAAATAGAGAATAAAATATTTTATAGAAAGTTATGGGCCTGGCACGGTGGCTCACACCTGTAATCCCAGCCCTTTGGAAGGCTGAGGCAAATGGATCACTTGAGGTAGGGGTTTGACACCAGTCTGGCCAACATGATGAAACCTCGTCTCTACGAAAAATGAAAGAAGAAAAAATTAGCTAGGTGTGGTGGCACCCACCTGTAGTCACAGCTACTCGGGAGGCTAAGGTGGGAGGATCACTTAAGCCCAGAAGGTTGAGGCTGCAGTGAGTCGTGATCACTCCTCTGCACTCCAGCCTGGGTGACAGAGGGAGACGCTGTCTCAACAACAACAACAAAAAAGAAAGCGAGAAAAAAGAAAAAGAAAGTTATGGAACATCTAGCCTAAAAACAATGTTGAATGCAATTCTTTACATTTTTGGAAGGAACACATATAAATATAAAATATAAACATAAAAAGATATCAGTCATATAATAAAAGATAAAAACTAAGAAACATAAAAGGGATGTCTATTATATCAATAAATTTGCTTGTGAAAACAAAACCACTCTCAGAAGAATTATGCCACAAAATCTAATTAAATGTTATGCATAAGAGATACTCCTAACACAGAGTACTTAGAAAAGTTGAAAACTAAAAAGTAAAGAAGCAGGTCATGAAGTGAAACGAAACACAGCTAACTCATAGTAAGAAAATATTTACTACAAAATATTAAGAAAAAGATCAAAGGTAAGTTCAATACAAAAATGGTCAAGAAACTTGACCAGATACTTAAGACACATTTTGACCAGAGGTCAAAGAAGAAGAGGATATACTTTCATAAATACATGAAAAGGTGCTGTACCTCATTATGAATCAGGAAAATACAAATTAAAGCCACTACAAACCCACCAGAATGGTTATATAAAAAAAGACTAAAAATCCCAAGTGTTGCCAAGAATATGAAAATTCAAGAACTCTCATAAACTGCTGGTGGTGATATAAGTGAAGGGCCACTTTGGGAAATAGTTTGGTATTTTGCTATAAATTTGTAGAATGTGTTCTCTTTAATGCACCAGTTTAATTCCAGATATATAGGCAACAAAGATGTATGCACATGTGTATCAACAGGCATTATCATTGGCCAAAACCAGAAACAAACAAATGTTCATCAAGGGTAGCGATATATTCACAGAATGTAAAACAATACAACAGTGCAAATAAATGAAATGTAATGTATGCAATGATACAGATGAATCTCATAAACATAATTTTGAGCTAGAGAGAAAAGACCACACAGTGTATAATTTCATTTATATAAACCTCAAAAATAAGGAAAACTAAACTCCACTGTAACGAAGTGCACATTTTTGTGGGTAAAAGATAAAAAAGGAACAGGCATGTGGCTCCACGTCTGTAATCCCAGCTACTTGCGGAGGCTGAGATGGAGAGTCACTTGAGCCCAGGAGTTTGAGGCAGCAGTGGAGCTATGATGGTGCCAGTTGCACTCCAGGCCGGGTGATGGACTGAGACCTGCTCTCTAAAATAAAAATAAAAGTATCCCTGCACTTTGGGAGGCCGAGTTGGGCGGATCACGAGCGGGCAGGATTCGAGACCATCCTGGCAACACGGTGAAACCCCTGTCTCTACTAAAAATACAAAAAAATTACCCAGGCATGGTGGCGGGTGCCTGGAGTCCCAGCCTACTCGGGAGGCTGAGGCAGGAGAATGGCGTGAACCCGGGAGGCGGACCTTTCAGTGAGCTGAAATCCAGCCACTGCACTCCAGCTTGGGAGACAGCGAGACTCCATCTCAAAAAATAATAATAAAATAAAAATAAAAAATAGAGAATAAACAGAAGAAAAAAAGTGACTACATATTACCCATAAATGTCAGGAAGGGACTGCACTTAAGAGAGAGGAAGCTGTGGCTCGGGATGGGCATGCAGGTAGGGGTGCTTCTGAGCTCTACCAGTATTCTACTTCTTGACCTTGATTGGTATTTATACAATGTTCTTATTATAGTAATTCATTAAACTGCATACTTAGGTTTTTATGCAATTATTCTAATGTGTTTTCATTTAACAATAAAAACATTTTTTAAAAAAGTAAAATATAACAGCTTCTAAAAACTTCTGACTTTTTATTTATTTATTTTTGAGACGGAGTCTCGCTCTGTCGCCCAGGCTGGAGTGCAGTGGCGAGATCTCAGCTCACTGCAAGCTCCGCCTCCGGGGTTCACGCCATTCTCCTGCCTCAGCCTCCCGAGTAGCTGGGACTACAGGCGCCCACCACCACACTCGGCTAGTTTTTTGTATTTTCTTACTAGAGACGGGGTTTCACCGTGTTAGCCAGGATGGTCTCGATATCCTGACCTCGTGATCCGCCCATCTCGGCCTCCCAAAGTGCTGGTATTACAGGCTCGAGCCACCACGCCCAGCCTGACTTTTTAAACTTCGAAAGAAGTTCAAGAATTTTTTGTGTAAGAATGTCCTTTTTTTAGAAACCTTTTGAAAATCAAAGATACAAAATACATTGCAATGATAAACAACTACCAAGTACATATATCTGTGCATGAAAATGTGATCAAAGTCACTCCTTTAGCAAATTCACTTCTCCCAAAGGCTATCAGTCTTAATACTCTTTTTCATAATGTTATTATACCTTTGCTTTAAGATAATTTATGCTTCATTCACTCAAAGCTAACTTTTAAATTTTAAACAACAGATCCATTGGTCAAAAAGAGGGCACATTCTAAGATGTGAAAACATTCCAGAGTCTGGTGGCATTATTTCAGAGTTTAATAAAGAGTTTAAAACATCCATTTTTATAAAACTTCTATTAATTTGATATCAACTATTTCTAGAACACAATGCAAAAAGCAAAGCATTTACTATTGAGTTGCTAATGGTCATTGGTTAAGCAAGTGTTAAGAAAAGAAAAATGATTAATATTAGAATAAATCCGTGTCCTCAACCAGGGACAATTTTGTCCTCCAGGAGACATTTGGCAATGTCTGGAGACATTTATGTTTGCCACAATGAAGAAGGGGTAGTACTAATGGCATATAGTGGATAAAGGCCAGGGATGCTGTTAAACATTGTACATTGCATAGGACAGGCCCTATAAAAGAAATCAATGACACTTGTTAAAGCATGGCAAGGAAGACTTTATTCAAGATCATTGCCATAGGTATAGGGACTATTGCAATAAGATTTTGCAGTTGGGGAGAGAGATTGTGCTCAACTCTGTATACAGCATGGGGCAAGTGGGAATTGATAGAGAAGGAGCAGGGTAGGATAAGTGAATGAAAAACTGCTAAGAGGAAGCACAAAGGGTGAGGAGGATTCCAACTAACACAACCTAACAGGATTCTTGCTAATGACAGGCTAGGGTTATTAGATTTCATCTAAGGGATGTTGGAGGATGAGGAACATATTGATGGTGATCATATATCAATGATGCGGGTGATAGGGGCAGTTGCTAAACTGACTAAACAGGTTTGTTGCTAAATCTGATTTTACAAGTATACAGGTGGGCCTAGGAGAAAGTTCAGAAGCCTGAATAAAGTTTGGTCAAGCAAAGAATTTTTATCACCCTCCATAACAAGGAAGTACCTGGCCCAATATGTAAATAGTGCCCAGGATGAAAAACCCTAGAATAAATGAATAAATGAATCAAGGAGTTATCACATATTGTTAAGCAAAAAAGTAGATTATAAAAGATTAAAATTGTGTGATTCCCTTTTTGTAAAATCCCCAAACAACTGTGCATATGTAATGTGTGTGTATGTGTATGTATTCACAAAAATATTAACAATTGTTGGCTCGGAATGATCAAATCATGGATGAATTTTATTTACTTTTGCTTTATTTTGTTAATCTGTAATTTCTTATTTTTCTACAGTTAATTTCATTACTTGAACAATAAGAAAAATACAGTGGTTTCTGCCAAAGAAAGAACATTGACTGTGGCATCAGAAAGAGCAGGGTTTGAACACTAGCTGTGTCTCTCACATTTTAATCTTCCAAGATAATTGTCTTGTTGGTAAATGGGGAAATAATACTTCACAGGCTTGCTCCTTTTCTCCTGTTTAGTTTAAATACAACTATATACATATATACACACATACATAACACCGCAATAGAAAACAATAAACTGAATAAATTTATTTTACAAATATCTTTAACGTGTGAGGAAAGTATATTTATTTACAGGGTAAGAACATAGACGAAGATGTGTGAGGATTCTGAAGGGGATCTCTAGGCATTTTCAAAGACTGGAGAAGTTAGCCTCCCATTTATCCCTATTTCACTTAAAAACTGATTCAACAATGATTTGTTTTTTTGCCAGGCATTGAGCTAAGTAAAAGAGCAAATGAAGAAAAAATTTAAAAACTCAATCTCTATCCTCAAAGAAGTCTAATTAATAAGTGGAGAATGACACAAACAACCAGTTGTAATGCAATGTATTAAATACTATCATAGACATATTCACAAAATATTATGGGAACAAAGAGGAGGAACTGAGTGTCTTACTAGTAGCCTATAGTATAATACTATGCTCATGTTATTATAATTTGATCTCTGGTTCTGAAATAAACAGATTGGTGAAGCACGTTTCTAATCATAAACAGGAAAGAGCAGGAAAAAAGTAATGAATATGAATGTATAGAAGGTGCCTAAAGTAGAATCACAGTGCTGTGAGCAGTAACAAGCAGAAGAACTTAAAGGATAAGCTGTGTACAAAATCTCCTGAAGGCAGGAAGGCAGGTGGTGGAGTGAAGTTGATTCAGCCTCCATCCTGTTACCATCAGATGGTTCTCAAATGCTTGGCTGGCATCTGGACTGGGGGAACAGCAGATGAAAGGACCCGGAGTGGGAGGAAAATGAATCAGTATATGATCAGCAAATTATACCTTGGATTGGGATAGGATTCTTATAATTC